AATAACACCTAGGTTTAGATTGCTGAAGTAAAAATTAAAAATGTTATGTCTTTTTCTTCTCCAGGGTAAGTCCTGAATCATGTAAACTTTGCTGCAGTCATAGTGGGAAAGGACTCCTGACACATCAATGCCCGCAGCAACGGCAGTGTTTATGGAATATCACCTTTGGAGTTACACATGAACACAGACACATACAGACTCTGACCTTTGTAAAAATTACCAGCCTTTTACTAATTTGGGGAACCTGTAGTCATTCCTTTGAGTGAAGGACACATGTTCTCGCCCTTCAAACTAGTTATTAAATTAATTTTCCAGAGATACAAGTATTTTCACTCAGTAGTGTCTATTTTACTTCTTAATCAATGACTGGGCCAAACTAGAAAGCATAAAGTTATTAAATCAGCCCGGGTGGTTTCTGGTGTGTGTGTGGTTTTGTGCCGGTGCTCTAGTTTGTGTTTGTGTATTGGGGAAAAGTCAAAGTTGAGAGGAGTCTAGTTGGTCACTGCAGTTTCTTCGATATGGAGGTTTGGGCAGGAGTCTGGGAGCGAACTGGCGAGCTGCCACTTCCATGGTTAGAGCTTTTCACGTAGTCACCAGCAGGGTGACAAGTGCCCTCTGCTTCTTCCTGTATCTAAAGATTCTCTGCCCAGAGCTCACATGACTGACTCTACGCCCTGTGACTGAGAAGCACTGCCAATGTTTATTTTTTTTCAAATCCATTTTATTCATAGGTAAAAAGAAAGAAGAAGAAAAAAAGAGGAGGAGGAAGAGGATGAAGAAGAGAAAGAAGAAGAGGAGGAAGAAAAAGAAGAAGGAGGAGGAAGAGGAGAAACTACAACAAAATTTGAAAGTATGTCAATCAGGGTGCCAATGTTCAAATGGGACAAAATTTATTATAGCAAAAGACAAATTACCATTAATCCCGATCAAGATAGCTCTGCTCACTTAGAGCATATTTACCTCATCATTTGTGTCACTTCCTGGAGCAACTTTGGAAGTCCTGTTTTCCGAGTGTCTTTAGTTGCACTATCATGGATGCTGTGCTGTCCCGAATTGATTTTTTTTTTGTCTTTTTCCTTTTTATTGGTATCAGGGATCGAACTCATGACTGCCTGCTTGCAAGGCAGGCGCTTATGCCGCTGAGCTAAATCCCCAGCCCCGATTTTTAAAAATATACCTTTCTTGGTCATTTCAACTTCAAAGAAGAACCAGAAATTAGTGTCAAATCTATAGAGGCACTTCTATAATAATATTTTGTGAGCCTGCCTTTGCAAAGATGATGCTGGGCACCAGCATTCACATTTTTTTTTTTTTTTTGAGTACCGAGAACCAAACTCATGACCTTGCACTTGCCAGGCAGTTGCTTATGCCACTGAGCTGTATCTTCAGCCCGCTCATCATATTTTTGATCATATCTTGTAGACACACTCATAAAGGAGAATTTCCAGAACTTCTTTAGAAAGAGACAAGAATGATGTTATAAGTGTGTTTGGGGGGGCATATTTCTAGGACATTACTGAGGTGTCTTTTACAGTAGTGCATTTTAAAATTTAAGTATTCACCATATATTCTGATCATACTGAAGGGCCAATATAAGGAGATTTTGTAACATGGTAGTTACCATCAAAAGTCAGCCAACATAGGACTCTAAGGACGAATCAGAAGTCTTCGCTCTCCTGAAAAATGTGGCTGTATCACACTGACCAAGGTTAAACAATCTCAAATGAAGATCTAGCACGTAGAAAAGACAGAAATAATGACAACTACCCTTGATTGGTTGATGATATATAACAGCATGAGACTGTCTTCATGAGTTGTCTCGCTTAATTTTCAAAAGGCCTGATCAGCATGTCCACGTGGTATCATGTAGGGCAGGTAGTACAGTATGTGGTCTAATGTGGTCTGGTTTCAGGATGTAGTCTTAACCGAGACCCCACAACCTTTGCTAATGTGAGACCTAAAAAGCTAAAATGTGAGCTTCAAGGAAACGTCAGAAAATTTTTCTAATCTCACATTATTCATATCTCCTTAAAGATAAGAGATCTCACTGTATAGGAAAATAATATAAGAATATATATCATTGTCATTAATAAATGCAAATGTGTCACTGTATAAGTTATGTAAAACTTCATGGCCTTGCACATATTATGTGCAAATTTGGGTACACAGAAGCTGAAAGACTGATTGTTAAGAAAGGAAGGAGTTTAGTGTTTTTGTTTTTAGTACGGGAGATTAAATTCAGAGCCTTCTAAATATTAGACAAGGACTGTACCACTGAGCTACAGCCCCAACCTTTTTAGGTATTTGTTTTTATTTTGCAGCAAGATCTCACTAAGTTACCCAGACTGGCCTCAGGCTTTAGCGTCCTCAGTATCTGGAATTACATCAAATAGTGTGGAGATGATCATGGAGGTATTTTCAAGGTGCTGAAGTTTGACGGTTTGGTGAGGACTCAGGTAGGTGCAGAAGAGAGTGTGGTAAATAATACTAATGGAAAGAAAAGAGGCTGGGGGTGTAGCTCACCCTAGAGCACTAGGTTAGACGGAAAAAGAAAAGTACAAGAACTTGGAGGCCGTGAAATCTGCCAGATGACGCATGTGTGTATCACTAAGTTTTCATGTCCTATAGGACTTGAAAGGAGATGATGTTGCTCAGTGTGTGACAGAAGCTTGGTGTAACAGAAGCTTAGCTCTGGTGCAAGGGGCCATGGAACCCCTGCCATAGGCATAATCAGCCGCTTTGCAAGTTCATGCTGTCAGAGCAGTGGTTTGCCTGATTTCATTATGCTGGCAACTTGCTAGGAAAGACATTTTAACAAGCTCGCTGGAGCCAGGCAGGTGATGAGGTGTCTCCCTTGAATGCTACGCCCAATGCATTCTCCCTTTCAACCTTTAGTTCTGGAAGGAGAGTAGGGGGTACAAGTTCCTTGAAGAGGTGAAATTGATGTAATTCTCCATTAAATCATTTCTGCGATTCTTGGGCATGAAGACTGCGACTACCTCTCTGTTCTTGGCTATTGAAGGAAAATGTAAGCTAGAATAGTTCAAATTCCAACTTGTCTGGTTTAAATCAATGACACAAAAATTTTATAATCATTTTCAAGTTAATATTTGCACATTTTCTTCGCATATTGCAAAATAATATATGCCCTAAACTAATGCTTTTTAAAATCCATACCGGAAATCAAACTCATGACCACAGGCTGGCAAGACAGGTGTTTATGCCACTGAGTTAAATCCCTGCCCTTAAACTAATGCTATGTTAGCCTGTACTTTTGCACTTTCATCAGCAGATGGCAGTAACGATCTATTCATTCGTTTTGCCTCCTGCATTGTTGCTATCATCTTCCTGCTTAATGTTGTACTAAAAACAAACCGATAACCGCAATTAGACATGATGAATAAAATCTCCCAACTGTCTTTTCTAGGAGAATCCAGTAGCATAGTTCTCTTGGTAAGCAGTTATGAGGTCCTATAACCTCAAATGTCTTCAAGCAAAATTTTGAAGCACAAAATTTTGAAATCCCTGAGTACTGGGATTTCAGGCATGCACCAACCATGCCCAGTGACAAAGCCATTGTGGGCTGTACTTTTTCCTTTGATTCTCACTTGGTTTTACTTTTCAGATGACAACATGTTTATGACTTGGCATCAGAGAATTAGCCTCTGATAATTCTCTACTCATTTTGGTTGTCTGAAGTATGTTGTATGTAACAATCAAAACCCTGATTGATGGATTGACTAATTGATCTTTTTTGCCCTAATATTTTTTCAAATTTTATTTTGAAGGTAGTAAAAATACAACAGAACAAGACAGAACAAAGCCAGTCAAGACAATGCAGTGACATTGGTACAGAACTTCACAGCAGGATACTGGGACAACAGTAATAGGTACCATGGTACATCTCGTTATCTTCATAATAGTTGTCCAGTCAATTAGGTACAGCAAAATCAAACAAGAAACAGAAAATTATAAAACCAATTGAAAGAGAATATTGAGTAGAGCAAAACGATTAATCACAACAAAACAAAACAGTGAAAACAACATTTGCCTTCAAACAGAAGACAGAAGGAAATCCCCCATATTTGCTATATTGCATATGGTCATCCTCCCAAGAGATGCTCAGACCTCTACCCACAGTTGCTAATGAGGGTTAAGTGGGGGGAGTGTTGAGGTGTTTGATTCCCAGCCCACATGCTGTAGGCTCTGGGAGACACTGACTGGTTCTCTTCCTGGCTTGCATCAGGGCGCTTACCAAGCAGGGTGGATGAATTGCTTTCTTGTGCCGCTACCTAAGTTCCACCATGGCCGGATCTTGGGAGCTGCTGAATGGTTCCTGATTGATGTTTTTTGAGACAAGATCTCACTATGTAACTGAGGCTGACCCAGAGTTCCCAATCCTCCTGCCTCATCCTCCAGAATGGTGGGATTACAGATTGCACCACCATACCCAGCTTTACTCAGTTCTTGTGTATGACAAACATTTGTCTGTACCCTTTGCTCTGTATACATTTCAGTGGCTATCAAAGCCGTAGCTCACATATTCTTTCCCTAAGTATCTTCAATTTTAACCTTTATTTTTTCTGTCATAAAATATTACTTTCCAAAGTCTGATGATACTATCATTTTCTTTCTCCACTTCCCTTTTCATTAACCTTGAATTTCTGTGTACTGTAAAATAGACCATGCATGTGTAAAAGGTTATGCTGTAGCTGGGGTTCTGGGATGGCCCCCAAGTTTCCACTCCTTGAACTTTATCCTATATAATCCCCTTTGCTATGTGTTGGATGTTTACATCCCTCTCAACTTTGTATGTCCAACCCCTCCTCCTCCAGTGTGATGGGATTTGAAGACAGAACTTTTGGGATTAGATCACAAATGATGGGGCCCTCAAGTTAGATTAGTGTTCTGTCGCGAGTGTCTAGTGCACTCGGGACCCCGGGAAGAGGCACACACCAAATCAGGACACGGGGGATGCAGAGCAGAGAAAACAGCAATCATAACTGCATGTTGTACTTTATTTTTAGGTTCTCATATAGTGAACCAGATCAACTCACAGTACACAGACGATTATCTTGTAATAGCACATTTTGTGACAAGCTTTGTGACAAGTTACAATGTTATCTAAACTATCTAAGTTAAGCTTTTTATCTAAACTATCTAAGTTAAGCAAAAAAAGCAAAACCAGTTCTTCTTGCCCCAATAACCCAGGAGGAACACCATTAACCCAAGAATGTTTTTAATTATGTTTGTTCTTTCTAGCCACCTGAAGGTCGGCCACTTCCTACTAGCTCTGTAAACACAGCCTAGTCACACATCATGAGAAAAGAGGGGAGAACCTTTTCTCCTCTTGGGCCAGCTTTCCTACCCAGTCTCTGTTCTCATGCCGGGGCTGATGTTATCACAGACTAGGAGGGGGCCAGACTCCTTAGGCGACACCACAGTTCTTCCCTTTTTTGTATTTAAGAAAAATTTTTATAAGGTCAAATTATTTGTGGCATTTCATCTTATGTAACAACAATATACAAGGACTATAGTGATAAGGGTTAAGATTAGGCTAAGTCCCATGCCACTTAAAGTATGAGTTATGCTTTGCCAAATTCCTTTTGGATCCAATCTTTCTAAAGACTGAGCAAGCAATTGAGCAAATTGAGCCAGGGATTTATCATCATTATGCTTTGTAAAATCTTTGTCAATTTGATTATGTAAAGACTCTATTTCCTCCTGGGCAGAAATATTCCCATTTAGATATATTTTAATTGTTTCCCATTCATGTTTTGTCTGATTATATGGTCGCTGTGTTATACAAAAAGTAGTTGAATTCCAATCACATTTTAGAAATACTTGATGTTGAAGAGCCAATATTTTTTTCCCATCCATTCAACTGTTTGTTTAAGAAGGTCTATTTGCTGCTGTAGTTTAGAATTTATTTGTCATTGGGTTAACCAAAGTTCATGAGAATTTTCATGCCATTGTTCCACAACATGTTTTTTTTTGTAAAGAGGTTTGTAAAGCTATTCCTGAGACTGCCGCTAAAGATGCCGCAGTTATCAGGCTCAACAATACAGCGACCACTATTCCAATAAATCGTTTTGTACGTTTTAACAGATGTTGAAAAAATTCAGTAGTAACAGAGATTATTGGGTCTTGAGACCATGGTTGAGTCAGATTTATAGGTAACCAAATATGAGTTTTTTGTTGTAAAAGCATAACTGTATAAGGTTTAGTGAAATTTAATGTGTTATTTAAACAGGTAAACAATTGACAATTTAAACAAGTACAGAAAAGTGTGTAAAATTAAAAGTTCCCACTAAAAAGACATAAGGCAGAGGTGCACAAACAGTAACATTATATATCATAAACTTAGTAAAATTATAATTAGTAGATACAGATCGACTAGTTCCTGAATAGGAAACATTGTACAAGGTTACAGGTTGCATAGCGGCTGGAATCTTTCAAATGTGATTTTGGAGATTATGAGGGTACTCTTCGGCTGCAACAGCAGGATTGGCAATTCCACCGTCTCCCCACCACAGGAGATGCGTCTTTTGAGGGAAGACGGGAGCTCCATCAGTTATGTTCTTCGGATCTGGAAGACTATATATAACAGAGAGATTACATCTTGTCTCATTTCATTCAGCACATCCATTAACAAATTTCCCAAATGGTCCCCAAATAATATATCTATCAATATTTTTAGCAAACTTCCCCATACATTGTTGTCAAATTATGGGATTATAAGAAATATTGTTATAAGTGAAATCAGGGCATACAGGAATGTGTTTTTATCAGGCGCTGTTAAATTTTTCCAGGTAACATTAAAAGTTTGAGCAGCCAAAGCTTGAAGCCTTGTCCTTTCGCCGCCTGCTTTTATTCCATGTTGAATCCAATACTGCCATCCCAGAGGGATGCAAGGCAGTTCCCCAATACAAATGGGCCTTTGATTGCCATAATAAGTAAAGTTGAACAATGTTTTATCATCCTGATTATGGGGGGTTAAATCAGCCCACGGTGCTGACAAAATTTCCCTTGGTGTTGTATATAGTGATATATCAATAGTTCCCCATACTACAGGTTCCAGTAAAGGGGGATTTGGAATATAAGCCCAATAAGAATGTTGGGGTACCTCAGTCCCTGATGCAATGGTGAGCAAGGCACATAAAGCTAAAAATAAATTTTTAGGGTTTAAAGGCTTCCCTGCTTGAAGGACAAGTCGTTGCCCCTCTTGGGTCATTTTTTTATTTGTCCCCATGTAGGGGGAGGGTTTAAATTTGGCCGTTGTGAGCGGCGGCTCTGAGACCCCAAATACAGCCTGGCCATAGTGGCGACAGGAACACCATCTTCATCTTTCTGGTTTCGTGCCCATCTCTGGGGATACGGTTCTTGATCCATCGTCCGGGGACCCATTGTTGAATTCCATGTTCTGTGGAGATATAACCATAACCTTTCCCCTTATAAAGCAATGTACCCTTCTCCCATTCTGCTTCTGGGGCTGTTTTAGTCCAAATAGGCTCATTAATCACATATGGTTGTTGCTGCTGTTTGAAATGTCTTTCAGCCCTTGTCAATATTTTACCTTGTGGTAAATTGAGAAAATTTAAAATAAACTGTACCTGATGTAATAATGTTCTTGGACTATTCTGTAAACTTAACAATATTGGTATCTGAATATCCTCTTGATTCCTCCTTTTTAATTTTTTAATTTGCAACTTAAGAGTGCCATGTGCTCTTTTAACAATGGCTTGACCTTGAGGATTATATTTAATCCCTGTAACATGAATGATATCATGAAGGGCACAAAATTGTTTAAAAGTTCTACTAGTATAGGCAGGCCCATTATCTGTTTTAATTTTAGATGGAATCCCCATGATTGCAAAAGTTTTCAATAAATGGATAATAACATTTTTAGTGGACTCGCCCTGTTGGGCAGTGGCCCATATGAATGAGGAGTAAGTATCAATAGTTACATGCACATAAGAAAACCTGCCAAAAGAGGGCACATGTGTAACATCCATTTGCCATAACTCATTGGGTTGAGTTCCTCTGGGATTAACGCCTGAGGGGGTGATTTTTAAATGTAAGGGCCTACAAATAGGGCAGGCCTTTATAATTTGTTTAGCTTTTGTAAAGGGTATCTTATATTTAAAATGTAAATGTCCAGCACTAGCATGATTAAATTGATGTTCTTCTGTGGGTGTGGCAAACATAACTAAAGAATCTACTGTTCTATTACCTGATACTAATGGCCCAGGTAACAGAATGAGAATGCAAATGAGTAATGAAATAAGAATGGTTTCTTTTTTGAATATGTGTTTGTAAATTTTGAAATAGAAATAGCAAATTAGGCTTATTGGAATACAACACTGCTGAATAAATATTTGCCACTACACCAGCAGAATAAGCTGAATCAGCTATAATATTAATGGGTTGATCAGGGAAATCCAAAAACACTTGTAATATAGCAAAAAGTTCATTTTGTTGCACAGAATTAAAATTTGTCTGACATACCCAATAAGATTTCTGAGTCCAATAAGCACTTTTTTTGGATCTGTCTGTAAAGATTGTTAAAGCATGAGGGATTGGCTGTGTAGATAATAGAGTATTGACCACAAATTGTTGACATTTAAAGAAATCCCACAATTTACTTTTGGGAAAATGATATGAAAAAGTTGCCATATAATCTGCCAAGGCAATCTATAAAGTCTCAGTTATTGAAATCAAATATTCCCATTGTTCCTTAGTTAAAGGGATGATAATATTATTTAAATCTTGTCCTATTAAGGTTATGGAGCGAGCTCTACCATTCATGATTAAGGAGGCAATGATATCTACATAAGGCATAACATTTTTATGTTGTTTAGTTTTAGCAAAAACCCATTCAACTGGCATAGCATTCTGACCCAAAACTGCAGAGGGATATTGAAAAGTATTAATAATATATAAAGTTAGAGGCAATTGAGGATCAATCCTAATTAAAAAGGCATCCTTAATTTGTTTTTCTACAAACTGTAATTCCTGCTCTGCTTCTGTTGTTAATGTACGAGGGCTAGATGGGTCTGAAGAGCCCTGTAAAGTAGCAAACAAATGCTGTAATGCATGGGTAGGAATACCTAGTGTGGAACGGAGCCAATTAATGTCCCCTAGTAATCGTTGAAAATCATTTAAAATAGATAATTTATCTCTTTGAATGGTCAGGGTAAAGGGCCAAACTCACACACAAATCTCTCTGTACACAACCAGGTTACTTTAAACAAATGTAAATTAATTGTCATTTTAGTTTTTTTTTTTTTTTTTTAGCTCTTTAGCGGAGAATAGAAGCGCCTAGCAGTGATAAACAGCCCTTGTTAGCTTGTTTTAGCACAGCTTTTGTAGTTTGTAGAGGGCAACAATGGTTAACATATCAATTAGGTGAGATTTTTGTAATTCTTTACAGAGGAGAGTGTTGTTCAACATATCAATTAGGTCACTTAACGTATCAGTTAGGGAAAAAGGATAAAACAAACGCATTTAGTAAGCCACTTTACAGGTTTGCTATAATACACATATAACAAAGCTATTTTCTTAGAGTACAACGTTCCCCATTGATTGACTCATTAGCATCTGTTTATAACCTTGCATGTGTCTTTAAAATCAGGCTCGTTTCACATGCCCAGTCTGGCCACAGCCAAAACACTTGATAGATTGTTTTTTTTTTTTAGATTGTAAATTATTCCATGTAGTTACCATAGTTTCAGCAAAAAGTTGCATCTTTCTAGTTTCAGAAGTTAAATCCTTACATTGTTTAATAAAATTGTCTATGGTTCTGGTATCTTTTATTGGGAGCAAAGCCTTTTTACATTCCTCATTTGCGTTTTCAAAAGCCAGCAACCTTAAAAGATGTTCTTGCAAATCCTTGCCAACAACAGTCTTTTCAATTACATTTTGGAGGCGTGCAATGAATTCAACATAAGGCTTATTGGCCTTTTGTAGAACTTTAGCCCAAGACCCATAAGATGATCCTTGAGGCCGTATTTTATCCCAGGCCTCCAGAGCAATATTTTGTAACTGATTATGAATTTCAATAGGAGCTGCGGCTTGATGATCAACATTTTCATAAAAGCCTGTGCCAGAAAGCATAGGATATGTAATAAGCCTAACATTAGGGTTTTGATCTAAAGCATTAAGTCGTGCTTTTTCAGTAAACCACATATGCCATAAACCACATATGCCACTGTAAATATTCTGGTTCTCTCAAAAGAGTTTTAGCCAATGTTTTCCAGTCATGAGGAGCAAAATTCCTATAATGATCTGACACTGCTAATAACAACTCTCTAGTATAATGAGCTTGAGGGCCATAGAGTGTCACGGCCTTTTTTAATTTTTGCTAAATCATCTATATTAAATCCTTCTCATCTAGGGGGAAGTGCCACTCCATCCGCATGTTGTGGCTTAATAATAGGGAAAGCAAAGACAGAATTTAATGATATACCATACATAGAGAGTAAATGCTTAAGAATTTTTAAGAAAGGCAAAGAAGAAGATTGTCCCATTTCCCCGTAATAAAAATATACACTCACCTCTCCTGAGCGACCGTTGGGGTCCCTGTTCGGGTGCCACTTGTCGCGAGTGTCTAATGCACTCGGGACCCCGGGAAGAGGCACACACCAAATCAGGGGGATGCAGAGCAGAGAAAACAGCAATTGCAACTGCATGCTGTACTTTATTTTTAGGTTCTGATATAGTGAACCAGATCAACTCACAGTGCACAGATGATTATCTTGTAATAGCACATTTTGTGACAAGCTTTGTGACAAGTTACAATGTTATCTAAACTATCTAAGTTAAGCAAACAAGCAAAACCAGTTATTCTTGCCCCAATAACCCAGGAGGAACACCATTAACCCAAGAATGTTTTTAATTATGTTTGTTCTTTCTAGCCACCTGAAGGTCGGCCACTTCCTACTAGCTCTGTAAACACAGCCTAGTCACACATCATGAGAAAAGAGGGAAGAACATTTTCTCCTCTTGGGTCGGCTTTCCTACCCAGTCTCTGTTCTCATGCTGGGGCTGATGTTATCACAGGCTAGGAGGGGGCTAGACTCCTTAGGCGACACCACAGTGTTCTTATAAGAAAAGAAGAGTGGAAGGAAAGTATCCTTCCATGTGCACACAACTGAGGAAAGGCAGTGTGCAGCCATCTGTAAGACAGGAAGGAAGGAGCCCTTGGTGAGACTGACCCCTCTGGTGTCTTAGCTTGGACTTAGCCTCTACAATGATGAGACAATGTATTGTCTTTTAACCCACTCAGTCTATGGTATTTTGTCACAGTAGCTCCACCAGAGTGATACACCTTCCCCTGAGTGTAGCTGAGCTCTGTTAATGCAATGAGAATCTCTCTCCCATGCTTAGGTTAAGCTATATAAACCTCTGTCACTTCCAACTTCTGCTGACTTCGATGGGATAAACTTATGCCACCACCGAGCTGAAACCCAGGGGCCACCTCTTGAGCAGAGATTATTTTTGGCTATTCAGACCAGGGTTGAATATGAGATCCTCCTGCCTCAGCCTCCCAGAATGCTGGGATTATCATACTCAGCTGGCCATAAGCTCTTTAGAAAACAGAATCTTACAATACAAACTCTTTGTGTGTGTGTTTATTTGTTTGTGGCTTGTTTCCTTTATTATAATTGTTTTGAGATTTATCTGTCTAACTGTGTATGCATACAGCTCTTAAATGTCCATGTGGAGTTTCCTCCAGAGAAGCACCCCATTTCTGTTCTTTCATGTTCATCTCCTCCTGTGCCAGAACAGCAAAAGCCTGCATTTGCTTTTACAGAATAAGAGCCACCACATGCTTGACTGAATCTGAACTTACCTTTATAAGCACGTGCCGGATTACTGACACACACACATACCTATGACTCCACAGATGTGTTTTTTTCCCTTTGAGAATTTCTAATAACAGGCCATAATTTTACCTGACATCTATTTCTAATAACTTATATCACACCTTCATGCAGCACATATAGGCAATCTGAAATTGCTATTCACATAATTTTTACCCTTTATTTACTCTACAGTTGGTGATATTCGTGGCCAGCACAATTAGCAGTTACATTTTATGAAACCAACACTCACATCTAGCAAATGAGTCTGCTCGCGATATTTATATAGGACTGTGGTGTTGGTCAGCACTCATTCCTACACATCCTCCACACGAACATGGCAGTGATAAATCAGCATTACTTTTAAATCCCAGCAGAGAAACGAAGACCTAGGGAAATATTCTAAAAAGAGAGGCTAAGGATATGTGAAATAATACTGTGTGTGGGGAGAGGATAAACTTTGACCTTCAAAATTCCTTTCTCTACCAGAAAAAGCACTTTTAGGGAGATATAGCATTCTGTACTAATGGAATTCTTATCTACCACTGTGCTTGCCAAAAGAGGGTTGTTACCCTTTTGCATCAGAATGCGTATTTTGGAAGTGGCACTAGCAAGATTACAGAGTTTTTAAAAATGCATTCTGAGCTAAGCTGTCTGGGTTTGACTCTTAGTTATATTTCTTTAATGATAGGTTTTTGATCATTGTGTATTTTATTTTATTTTATTTTATTTTATCTTATCTTTGGCCTCCTGAGTGATAAAATTGAGATAAGGCTTGTGCCTCTCTCATGGAAGCAGTGGAAGAATTAAGAGTGTTTATTCACATAAAGGGTTGGAAAAGTGCCTGGCTCAATAAATGTTGAAGATCATTATCAAATAAATGAATTAAAGCACACCATGGGTATTTACAACACAGCTCATCTTCTAAGCCACATTTTTGTCAGTAATGTGATCATCCTTACGGTCGCAGCTATCTCTGTCAAACCTGAGGAAACCAAGTTTGAGTCAGGTGAAGTCATTTGTGCTAAGCAGGGCAGGGTACGAGCAATGAAGCCTGGACACTGCCTGGATCCTCATGGTGGTCAGTGTGAGGGGAATTAGACAGTCTGGTTGTACTTGGATTCACTGCCAAGACAACATACATTTTCGGGAAGGGTTTTAGCACTGGGAATTGAATTTAAGGCCTTTGCACTGAGCTACATCCTAGCCTTTATTTTAAGATAGAGCTCACTAAATTGTTAAGTTGCCTAGGCTGGACTTGAACTTGTGATTTTCCTGTCTCAGCTTCCCAGAGTGTTGGGATTGTAAGCATGTCCCACCACACCTGATTGAAAATGCAGAGTTAAAACAGACAGCAGAAACCTTCCAGGTAATTCATGGTCCATGACAGAATTTTCCACCATGATCTCTATTTCCTGCCTTCCATCTACTCAGGACATTACCTTAGTCATTCATTTGGTGGTTACAGAGGCTTTCAAACATCCACCTTCCACTGGCATGTTTTTGTTTGTTTGTTTTGCCTTTGTTTTCTTCCCATTGAATACTGCCAATGCTTTGCATTTATCTAGAGGCCACAGGACATCAAACTCTGCCCAAGAAACTTTTTTTTCAGGCCACATGAGGGACCATCCAAAGAAGCTCCCTATTTTCCCTTGCTTCTTTCAGAAGGCGAAGTGGATAGGCTAATCAGACAGGTCCATGGGGCACAAGTGGCACGAAATCCTTCACTTCATGTGATCAGAGCAGGCTGACTGGCTACCTTCATCCCTAAAATGTGGACACATTGTTTGTGTCCATTGGGTCCATGTTAAGTCAGGGTTAAAATAGTCACAATGTGGCTTTAACACTGAAGTTCTCTTAACGCCACTGTCTTAGGAGGAGGAGCTGTTCTCACAAATGACTGAGGAACAGGAAGAGTGTGCTGCATTTACCTCCACTATTTTTGTTTCTGTGTGTGCATCATTGAGGGGGAGATAGATAGAGATAGAGATACAGATACAGATAGAGATAAAGGAGATAGAGATGTGAGATGGGGGAAGAAAGAGGGAGAGAGAGTCTAAATCTCTAAAGTCTCCATCTTCTGGAAATATGAATTAAGTGCTAAAAATCCAGTAAACTTTTACTGCCAGTTTATTATGGGTCAGACCCTTTGCTGGATCCTGGGGCCAGGAGTCTCCACAGACCAGCTAGCTCAGAGCTTTCTTTCTTAATGGCTGTCTCTTAAAATCTTCCTCTACAGGAAGCTATGATTTTTTTTTTAACTAATGGTAAAGGGAAGAAATTGTCACTGCTTCCGTAACATTCAGCTTAAGAGGAATGTGCACCAGTATATTGAGGTTGCATCTTTAATTTTCAGAACATCTCAGTGAAACTTAAACAATAGTAAAGTATGGATGTTTGCTAAGTTGTTTGGCAGTTGTGTCTCAATTTCCACACTCTCTGTCTGATGGGCAATTCAATGTGCTTGTTTTTTTTTAAAAAAAATTAGATCTTTTCAAGTTTTTATTTGGGAAACTGCTTATCCATTGCCAGGCTCAAGCAGATGCCAGCCCCTTCCTGTTGGAGGAGGAAAACTGCTTAAGAACTTGGTGCCAGACTGAGTGGCTTTATGTCACTGTCAGCTCTGCCACTTATTTAGCTGTCTCATCTCTGACTACTGACTTACTTCTTTATACCTTGAATTTTCTACCCTTACCTATATAAGCCAATATTATGCATCTGAAACTACAGACCTTAAATGCTGTTACTTCCACCTTGATACTGGCTTGCACTGAAATATCATTAGGTGCTGCTACTATAAAACGAGAAGGAAAAGCCAGAGTACCTAATGTTGGAGCCAGGTCTAGTGTTGGAGTCACTTTTGCACTATGGTCTATACAGCACTGACACTGTTTAGAATTTCTGTTGAATCAGCTGGCATCTTCTATTGTTGAGTGTCCTGCATTTGCAACAGTGCAATAATCTTTCCAAGTTCCTTAGGGTAGATAGGGTTATTCTGCTTTCCAGTACTCTTCAAATGCACATAGTGAAGTCCTGTGAGGTTAAATATGAGATGCAGTTTCCCTAAGACGATGATCAGCACACCTAGATTGTTGACTGCCAGCCCTTCACTTGGTATTCTTCTGGGCACACTGCCTTGCTTCTTTAGACAAAGGTTCAGTGAGAATAAGTCATTTCTTTGTTACACTCAAAGCATTTATGGGAGAGGCTCCATAAAGCTCTCTGGTGTGCAACAATGGGATAATAAAATTCTGGGTTTTGGAACTCATTTTTGTTCTCATCTCTTCTCCAGATCTTTGTGATTAGGAAGTCCGTATGTTAAAATCTCAGAGGCGGATTCAGAGAAACCTCCTTTAATTTGGAACTTGGGGATGACCTCTTATTTATTTGCTTCCTCTCTTTTCCAAACTAAGATTTTTCACAGAACTTCTTATAATTTTTCCAGCTTTTCTGGTATAAACCATCTGTGGTCATTTTGCAGAGTCTCTTTAGGTCATGGGAAAGTTCTCTATTTCCTGCATTACACATATAGGAATGAGTCCTGTTTCCCACCACCATTACTTTGAAGAGGACAGTTGCATTTGTCTCTAAGGAGAGCAGATGTAGTTACAGAGCAAACTTTCTGTGTACCTACAACTGTGAAAAAGCTTTAGAAAGCTCATACATTCAGAAAACTCACTGGTCTCTTGAGTTTTACTTCTTTTCGCAGAGACAAGCTGTTATAAAATCTCTATCAGAAAATGAAAACTTTCAAATGTTCTATCAGTATTTCTCTTTTGGGCACCAAGGATCCACTTCATAGTGGACAACTTTTCCATCATCGATCATGTATATGTGTGTGTGTGTGTGTGTGTGTGTGTGTG